AACAATCTTTCAAAAGCCACTCATAATTTATCAGAGTTAACATGCAATTAAAAAAAAAAAAACCTATGTGACGCCTGGGTGGCTCACTTGGTTAAGCATCTGCCTTCAGCCCAGGTTATGATCGCAGGGTCCTGGGATCAAGTCCTGCATCGGGCTCTCTGCTCAGGAGGGAGCCTGCTCTCCCTCTGCCTGCTGCTCCCCCTGCTTGTGCTCTCTCTCTCTGTTAAATAAATAAAATCTTTAAAAAAAACCTATTCACCATTGTTGAAATACAAAGTAAGTTCCTCTGCATGGCATACAAGATTCCCATGACCTGGTACCTATCTACTTCTCTGGCCTCATTTCCTACTCTTCCACTCAAAGGTTATGTTCTAGTCACAATGAACCACTTCTATACATACTGAGTACACTAGACTTCTTCACCAAAGAGTGCTTAGGTTTATGATATTCCTTCTGACCAGAATTTTCTTCCCCTTTCTTTGTTTAAATCCTATCATTCTTTTGAGATGTAGTTAGTCATTGCAGGCATTTCCTCCACTGGGACACCTGCATTTATATCCCCAAGTTATGCTCCTCCTCTTTCATCCTGAAGCCTAGTCCCACCAAGCCTTTTTATTACATTGTATTACAATGACCTTAATATCCTTACTTGGCCCATCTTAGTCAGCCTGGCACAAAGCAGTTGTTCAATAAATGGTTCCTGAATGAAAAGGACAAAATGAATCAACTGTTCTGTTTAAGACTTCAGAGACTCATGAAAAATTATGTTACTCCATGTACTGCATACAGGTATATTCCCTACATGGTCAGTGAAATATCCAAGAGCAATTTATTTTGATAATTCATAATCAAACTACTTTCACATACCTTCTCCCCTATAAGTTGTTCTTTCACAGCAAAATGACTGCTTCATATTGTAAGGGAGGTTTTACCTCTTTATTGCTTCATCATTTACCTCTTTATTATCTGTCGAACTTTGAGAAAAAATACAAAACCCCCCATCACTACAGTTTTATTTATTTTTTTTTGAAGATTTATTTATTTGAGAGAGAGAGAGAGAGAGTGAGAGACAGAGAGCACGAGAGGAAAGAGGGTCAGAGGGAGAAGCAGACTCCCCGCTGAGTAGGGAGCCCGATGTGGGACTCGATCCCGGGACTCCAGGATCATGACCTGAGCCGAAGGCAGTCCCTTAACCAACTGAGCCACCCAGGTGCCCACTACAGTTTTTTTTAAAGACTTTATTTGAGAGAGAGAGTGCACATGTGCACGCAAGCACGGGGGAGGGGCAGAAAGAGAGGGAGAAGCAGACTTCCTACTGGGCAGGGGGCCCAACACAGGACTCGATCCCAGGACCCTGAGATCACGACCTGAGCCAAAGGCAGATGCTTAACTGACTGAGCCATCCAAGCACCCCTACAATTTTTTCTAAAGATTTATTTATTTGAGAGAGAAAGGGCAAGCATGGGTTGGGGGAGAGGGAGTGAGAGAATCTTAAGCAAACTCCCTGCTGAGCACAGAGGCCCACCCGGGGCTCGATCTCATGTCCCCGAGATCATGACCTGAGCCAAAATCAAGAGCTGGATGCTCAACCGACTGAGCCACCCAGGTGCCCCCACTACAATTTTTCTTTTTTTCTTTTATTTATTTATTTTTAAAGATTTTATTTATTTATTTGATAGAGAGAGACACAGCGAGAGAGGGAACACAAGCAGGGAGAGTGGGAGAGGGAGAAGCAGGCTTCCCGCCGAATGGGGAGCCTAATGTGGGTCTTGATCCCAGGACCCTGGGATCATGACCTGGGCCGAAGGCAGACACCTAACGACTGAGCCACCCAGGTGCCCCAATTTTTGTTTTCTTGAAGTAATTAACAGATGTGGAACAAAGAGAAGAAAATGAGAGAACATTATAAATATGAAGAAATTGTCTTAGATACTAGATAATTTCACTAAAATGAGTCATCTGGCATAATTTGCTGGTATTGATTTACTGCAATAGTGCTATTATACTAAAAGTCTGAGTCCTTAAGACCAGGAGCTATGTCTCATAACTATAATAAGTATCCGGCATAAGCTAGGGCCCAGCAATGTTTTGAGAATCCAGATGCAAATTTTCAAAACGTTTCACATGTAAATATTCAATTAAGAGAGATTAGAAAATTAAAAGTTCCATATATACATGAACTGACACATTTAATGATGATGCAGTAATCAGTGTTCACGCTGTAATAGAAGCAGAGGTATCATCATTTCAGTACTTCCTTAACTTGCAGAACAAGGAAATACTACAATCTAACTCATAAGTGTGGACTGACAACAACTAAAGGCTTTTAGGATATTAATAAGAATTAGGTAAGAAAAGGAATCTTGGTTAAGAAGTTTGGAGAATCCTGAAATATAGACAAGTGGGTTTCTTTACTATAGTAACACATAAGTTGTTAATATAATCCAAAAGAAGGATGTAATACAGTCTCCCAAGCAAATTTAACTATGGAACTTAAGAATATCTTATGAGACTAGTGCATCCAAAACCTTAGAAAATAGAGCTTTAGGGCGCCTGGGTGGCTCAGATGGTTAAGCGTCTGCCTTCGGCTCAGGTCATGATCCCAGGGTCCTGGGATCAAGTCCCGCATTGGGCTCCCTGCTCCTTGGGAGCCTGCTTCTCCCTCTGCTTCTCTCTCTCTCTCCCTCTGTCTCTCATGAATAAATAAAATTTAAAAAAAAATTAAAAAAAAAAAGAAAATAGAGCTTTAGATAATTATAAGATACTGCTCAAAGTCAAATACTAAGCATTAATGTATTAAAAGTATCAGCAAACTGTATACTCTACTATGTTAAAAAAAAATTTCACCAGTAAGAAATACCTGAGAATAGGTATGGAAAAAAGATTTCCTCATACTTACAGATAGTAAGTTAACCCTTATTTTGTTTAGGACCTAAAACCTATTATTTTGGCAACATTATACAGGAGATTTCTGATCAATTAAAGTAGAAGGTTTACAACAATCTACACTATGAATCCTAACACTGAGACAATTCAAATTAAACTCAAAACATTTTGCCAGGGGCGCCTGAGTGGCTCAGTCGTTAAGTGTCTGCCTTCGGCTCAGGTCATGATCCCAGGGTCCTGGGATCGAGTCCCACATCAGGCTCCCTGCTCAGCGGGAAGCCTGCTTCTCCCTCTCCCACTCCCCCTGCTTGTGTTCCCTCTCTCGCTGTGTCTCTCTCTGTCAAATAAATAAATAAAATCTTAAAAAAAAAAAAAAAAAACATTTTGCCAATGTTTTTCACAGGTGAATGATACCTACTATTTGCAAGGATAAAATACTAACATTTATTTCTAAGACCAAGGCAAATACCGAGAGACTTATCTATTATCTGTTCAAATGGAAACTTAGCTAGAGTACTAAGACAGATTCACTGTCCTGACCTTCCTGCCTCCCATGCACTGTAATACATTGAAATCAGTATTTCATCCCCACCATTCCACTAAAACTATGTACTTTTCCCAAGGTCAGTAACTACTTCTGCCTTGACAAACCTAACAGCCAATTAGCTCACCTACCTGACCCATCAGCAACATGTGGCACAGATGATCTTTCCTGAAGCACTTTCTTCAGATGACTCTCTAGATAACACATTCTCCTGGTTGGCTGGCTCTTCTTATTTTCCTTTTGGGGCCACTCTCTGCCCTGTGCTTAATCTTTGATCTTCTTTTCTTCTCTATCCTCTTTCCCTAGTAATTTTATGCAGTTCCATGGTGTTAAATGGAACATTGTACTGTACAACAGTACAATGCTAACTCCCAAATTTTATCTCCAGCCAATACCTGACATTCCTACATTCCTTCTCACCATCTCCATTATTATCACAATAGCTGAAGCCCAGCAACAGCCTCCTTACTGAACTTTCTCCTTCCAAAACAGAATATTCCACCCATAACCTTAGCACACAACTATGGTCCATTCCTCACACAAGTGTCAAAATGATCTTTTAAAAATGTACATTACCTCTTGCCATTTCCTGGCAGGAAATTTCAATAGACTTCTATCTAATTCAGAGTAAAAGCCCAACTGGTTAGTACGGCCTACAAGGTCCTATGTGCTCAATCTAGTCCCAGTTTTCCTCTCTGATCTAATCTTACTCAATTCTCTTCCTTGCTCGCTGAATTCCAGCCATGAGGGCTTTTATCTATTCCTCAGTTACATCAAGCTCATTCCAATATTGGGAACTTTACTCTTAATATTTAAATGTACCTCCTCTCCCAACGCAGTGCCCTAGTCTATGCATGGCTCACTCCTAATTTTATGTGAGTATCTGCTCTACTGGTTCCCTTCCTTAGAGAAAGACACTTCCTAAATCACCCTATTTAAAATAAGATGTTTACTCTTGCCCTGCTACTCTTCTAATCACTATCAGGTTCTATTTTTCTATGTAGCTCTGACATATTACTACATAATTACTTGTTTCTATCTCTCTTGAAAATATAAGTTCAATGAGACTATAAGATGATTCTATTTGTTTCACCAATATATCTCAAGCTCCCAGAGCAATTCATGACCTATATAAGCCTTCAATAAATGTTTATCAATCAAAGAAAAGTCCAAGGACTAACTTAGTTCCTTAGAAACATTTCTTTAAGGGGTGTGAAAGTGTCTGATTATAAGCATAATTTAAATTGATTATTAAATTTCTATAGATATATGCCACAGAGGATCACTATAAAAACTTTAAGAAGTTAGAGAATATTGAGTCTGATTTCTTAATCACTGTATCTTTTTACAGATTCAGGAGAAAGTAGACAAGTCCAATAGGATTTATTGTTTTGATTCTACACAAACTGCACAAAAATATCTGTATCTAAATATTTTCCAAGATTTTTCTTGTATATATTTTAAAATGTATACCAGAGTATAACTGCTCTTAAATGAGCCCATGTAAATTATTATGCATAATCATTTAACACGATTGGCATTCCAGTAATTTACAAAATCAAATGCCTACCTGATTATCTGAGAGCCACATAGCAGTCAATTGTTGTAGCTTTGTAAAGCTAAAGGGCAAATTCTTTAATCTGTGGGGAAAATACAAAATTAAAATAACAAATGTTAAAATGTAAGAGCAAAACCTAATGGTCTTCTAAACAATAGTATATTATTGATAGAAGAAAAATATTTAATTTAGGAGAGAACCCAATATAGGTCTTTGACATAAGATAGAAGACAAAATATTATCCAGTTTAATAAGAATTCACTTTAAAAAAATACAATTCTTCAATTGAATCAATTTGGCTAGGGGAAAACTGGATAATCTAATAATCCCCCAAAAAATTATCTGCTAGAAAAAAATGTTAACCATCCCTCTTTAATGCAAAGACAAGAACACATTAAGCAATGTCTCATAACATTGCTTTGGATATTTTATTTGTTTTCAGAAAGAACAAACTACTACAGGAAGCCTTAGTGATAGCTCGTTATAAAAACTGCACTGTTCTGTTTTTTCCTTGTGAGCCAGCACTTTCATATTCCAAAGACTATTTAAACATTATAATGAATAAAAAACGAAGTAATATTAACACCTCATCAGAATGCCAAATTAGAACAGCACCTATTTAAAAAGAATGTCTACTTAAACTTTCTATCTTATTACGTCTATCCACTCTGCTGTGCCTATTTTCTAAGGCGATTTGCTAGAAACTAGGGCTCTAGCTTTGGGGTACAAGGTATGGGCAAAAATGGGGACTGAATTTTTAAAAAAGGTAGTGGTTATTCTTAAATAAAATGGAACAGTCCGAATATCCTAATTACTCAGAAAACTGGGCTTACATTAAAGCTCTACTTTATAAGCTAAATGAGTCATCTTAGAGTTTTAATTTTCTCCTCATAAAATGACAATACCTATTGTACTATTTCATAGTACTGTTCTGAATACTTTGTAAGATACTATGAAAGCATAATGTAAAAATGCTCTACAAACATTCTTTTATCATTATTAGTATCTTTACCTCAGGAAAAATTACAGACAGTCTGTTCTTAACATTATTCCAATTTAGTAACTCTAGTGATCTATTTGCTCTGCACCTTGACTGTGCTGCCCAAGGTATGTGAATGGGTGCCTAATAACATCTCAGCTCAGAAAAATACAGGGAGTAGATTAGATGAAAAGTTGCTTCATTCAGCAGTAGTATTAAGGTGAAGATATGGAATAAAAAAGGTGACTATAAGGAAAGAACAGCTGTATAGCTCAAGCTGTAAGGTGTATAGCTGAAGTCAACACAAAATGAACTATGACAAATAACCACAGTATAAAAACCACAGGCAGGGGCGCCTGGGTGGCTCAGTGGTTAAGTGTCTGCATTCCGCTCAGGTCATGATACCAGGGTCCTGGGTTCGAGCCCTGCATTGGGCTCCCTGCTCAGTGGGAGGCCTGCTTCTCTCTCTCCCAACTCCCCCTGCTTATGTTCCCTCTCTCACTGTCTCTCTGTCAAATAAATAAATAAATTCTTAAAAAAAAAAACACAGGTAAAATTAGGTCATTCTTTCAAATGAAAATTCCATTTAAAAACCAAAAATGCATATGAAAAGAACATGCACATTTTCTATCAAATGATGAAACTTTAATTTCATCCAATCAATGTCTTCTATAAACCATTATTACAAACCTATTGTCACTTAAATTGATGACTTTTAATTTTTGCATATCACCCATTTCCTCTGGAAGTGTCTCAAGTTTATTGGAATGGAGAAATAGCACAGTTACATTTTTCCAGCTTCCAATCTGAAAGAGAAACATAAAACTGGGTAACAAAATTCTGGCCTAGTGCTTAATAGACAGAAGTAAAATATACTTTCCAAAAGTTATGAAAACATTCTTCTCATTTATAAAAGGAAACATATTTTCTCTTTTCAATTATTAATTTTCATGTATAAAGAAAAGTATTTAGGTATCTCTGTAAATCAGTATAACTAATTATTATTCAGAGAATAAGTAACAGAGTTACATAATTATTTCTAAAGAAAACAGATAAAACCACACTGGATAGCTATAATAAATAATATTAAAAAAAAAAAATTCAAAGCAAATTTAAAATACAATACCTCTGGGGGTAACTGTTGTAAATAATTATGATCTGCAGCAAAGGTTCTTATATTAGTAAGCTGCCCAATAGATGAAGGCAAAGCCTCAACTTCATTGAAGCTACAGTCCAGTTCTTCTATTGATACTAACCTAATTAAAACAGAAAACACACATTATTTTTAAAAAGTTTCCTATATATAATCAAAAACTTAAGAATATATAAATATTTGAACTTGACTTTAAGAAATCTAGAAAAACTCTATTTCCACTAAACTTAATAAAAATAAGCCTACCTTTATTAAAAAAACCTATCCAATCTGTAACCAATTACTTATTAAAATGCTTATGGAATCTCCTTTAGATGCTATTTATGTAGTTATCTGAAAATATATATGATTGAATGAAAACATAAATATATAAAGCTGAATGAAAGTAAAGTCTTCTAGTGATTCAGAAAAATCTTACCCTCCTATAGAGTCTGGCAGATACATTAATTGATTTTCATCTATTTTAAGAGTTGTTACATTCTTCAATGAACCTATTTGAGAGAAGAAATAATATACAATTTTCCAGCTTGAACTAGAAGCAGGTCAACCAACAGTCAATGTGAGCACATACTACATTTGACATGAATCATACAGAACTTTCTTAATCAACCCATCTACAAGAGAAACAAACCTAACCTCATTACTCTGTACTCCCTTACCCTATATTTTCAATTTTACCAATATATCAGCTTTTAACATTAGCGTATATTTATCTACTTTACTCCTGTTAAAAATGCAAGCTTCATAAAAGTAGGGACTTCTGTCTGCTTTGTTCACAGATGTAGCCCTGCTCCTTAAAACAGTGCCATGGCACAAGTGAGCACAAACAAAAAGGAATGGTAGGTGTATAAAATTCATAGGTATATGGCAAACTATTCTGTGTATTCTAAATACTAAAACAAAAACAGAGTTTAATTTAAAATTAAAAAGTGCTGAGGGGCGCCTGGGTGGCTCAGTCATTAAGCGTCTACCTTCAGCTCAGGTCATGATCCCAGGGTCCTGGGATCGAGCCCCGCATCAGGCTCCCTGCTCCACAGGAAGCCTGCTTCTCCCTCTCCCACTCCCCCTGCTTGTGTTCCCTCTGTTGCTGTGTCTCTCTCTGTCAAATAAATAAATAAAATCTTTTAAAAAATTAAATTAAATTAAAAGTGTTGAATAAATTATAGTAGAATTTGCAAAATGTAACCTGAGCTAAAACAGCTATGTAACTCAATTAAATATATAAGAATATTTTTTGGTTTTTGGTTTTTATGTTTAAACATCATGAAGATGGCAAGATTTATGTTGGTTCTTGAATCAAAATAATTCAATTTCCTTGAACTATCATCAGACGAAAAGCAACTACAAATATAGACTCTCCTGGGATTTGCTAAAGTGGTTTGTTTTCTCCTATGTTGAGTCTAAAATGGAGACTGAAAAAAAGTTACTAGATAAGGGCTATGAATAGGAGTTAAAGTTTGGATAAATTAACCTCTTTTTAAAGAGTTTAAATTTTATTATAGTGATAAAAATGACATTTCCTTAAGGAAAAATATAGTAATGTCAACCAAGAAGTAAAATGTGTAACTGATCACACGAGGAAAAAATTCAAATAAGATTTGTGACTGGAAGTACAATAAAACTAGCTCATAACAAATAAAATTTGATATATGAAAGCTTTGAGTGAAACAATGGCAAAAATGTAATTTCTGAGATTTTGCATTAGTAAAAATTACATAAATTAGAAAGCAATACAAACCAATAGTCTCAGGCAGTTGTTGAAGTGAATTGCTTGATAACAGGAGGTCCTGAAGGTTTTCACATGCTGAAATTCCTTCTTCAATCATTTCAATATTATTTTTGGAAACATCCAAGTATGTGAGCTGTTTCAAACTACCGATAAACTGTAAGTAAAAAGAGGAAATCTCATGATGATATTAAGTGAATTTATGGCTAGTTTAGGTAATACACTCAATACCAAGTTATAATTCACAATTAAATGTTTATATGAGAAAAGATTCAATTTTTTATTAAATGCCGTAAGTAATGTATTCAGTAATAAAGCTAAGAGCTCCTGCTAAGCGCCTAGCAGAGTGACAACGGACATATACTTTTCGTTGGGAACTCAGCTGTCACCATTGACTAGGGCAATAGGACATAAAGGGATTCTTAGGTTCTTTGGGTATGGGAATAAATAAATGTCGATAAGACAGAAACTAATGTCCCACTTTAACAGTTCTCCGGACAAAATGAGTTAGGGTATAAACTCAATTGCAACCACTGTGAAGGACACACTCCAGATCCAGGAAATTAAAAAGAGTCTATTTTACAAAGTTTACTATGGTAATTTTCTGATTTTAGTCAAGAATGTATTGATAGTAAAAAAAAAAAAAAAAAAAAAGCTATTTGCTTCTAATATATTAACAATTAAATAACCATCTTTTTTTAAAAAAGTAATCTGAAAATGTATAATTCATAAAACTGCAAAGAATAGACTGTAATAAGAGAAGCCATTTAGAGTTTGATATACATACCCCTGGAATAAAAGTCAGTCTATTACCATCCATCCAAAATTCTTTCAATCCACTTAGTTGCTCAAGTACTTCAGGCTGTTTGGATAAGAAAGGGGTAGGGGGATTCAATAATTTCCTTGAAATGGTTTTATTTGCCAAAAGAAGCTCCAAGGAACTTGTAATGGTAACTTATGGTTTAAAACATTCAATAAATAACTTGGGGGGGGGGTGCGTGGCATGGAGTGGAGCCAAGATTCTAGACTTTTCACTTTATTATAGTTACTACAGTGGGTCTACTAAAAGAGAACTCAAAGATAAGCATTCCAGAAGAGTAGATTGCATGAAACTCATTCAAGCTTTTGATTACACAACAGGCTCAAGTATTTATAAAACTAATAAAGAAATAAAAATAGGTCCCATTGCTTTCAAGAGTACAAAAAGATACTCTCAATCATTATCTGTAAAAAGATTTCACCTTTTCCCCATGACCCAGCAATTGTACTACTAGGCTATCTACCCCAAAGATACAAATGTAGTGATTCAAAGGGGCATCCCAATGTTTACAGCAGCAATGTCCGTAATAGCCAAACTATGGAAAGAGCCCAGATGCACATCGACAGATGAATGGATAAAGAAGATGTGGTACACACGTACGTACACACACACACACACACACAGAATACTACTCAGGCATCAAAAAATGAAATCTTGTCATTTGCAACGACATGGATGGAACTAGAGGGTATTATGCTAAGCGAAATAAGTCAATCAGAGAAAGACGATTATCATATGATCTCACTCATATGTGGAATTTAAGAAACAAAAGAGAGGATCATAGGGGAAGGGAGGGAAAAATAAAACAAGACGAAATCAGAGAGTGAGGCAAACCACAAGAGACTCTTAATCATAGGAAACAAACTGAGGGTTGCTGGAGGGGAGGGGGGTGAGGGGATGGGGTAACTGGGTGATGGACATTAAGGAAGGCATGTGATGTAATGAGCACTAGGTATTATATGAGACTGATGAATCAGTGAACTCTACCTCTGAAACTAATAATATACTATATGTTAATTAAATTTAAATTATAAATAAAATGGGGAAAAATAACCAATTAAGAATTAAGAAAACTAATCACTGTTAACTACTTATTATCAATTAACTATTCTATATGATAATATAATGGTGGTACATATCATTACACATTTGTCCAAACCCACCGAACGTACAACACTGGAAGTAAAACCTAATGTAAACTATGGACCTCAGGTAATTATGATGTGTTAATGTAGGTTCATCAAGTGTAACCAATGTACCACTCTGGTGGGGGATGTTGATAATGGGGGAAGTTATGCATGTGTGGGAAGGGTGTATATGGGAAATCTCTGTACCTACCCTCAGCTAAAATTTGCTGTGAACCTAAAACTGCTCTAAAAAAAAAAATCTATTTAAAAAAAAAGATTTAGCCTTTTATGAAAAGAACAAAGATATTCCAATGACTAAGAGGGAGAAAAATGAAAAAAACAATTTAACTATCCAATAATAAGGGAAAGGTAAATAAATCAAGGCATAATCATATGATATGCACATTCTGTTATTTTAAACTCTTAGCAATTACATAATGAAATAGTTTTTAGTATGGTTTTGATAACCAAAAAAATAATCAGAGGGTTGCAGTGGACCTTGGTATTGAGACAAAATTTGATCTTGGGCATTTGCCCTTGCAGGCTCTATTGAATGCATCCTTCAAAGGTATTTCTGTCACCATACAAAGCTCTGTGTAGTCACTGACACAGTGATGTCATAGAGTACCATTATATCTAATCAACATCATCACACAAGTAATACATAAAAGTCATATCATTCAGATTTACTGCTAACATATAAGTATAGGTAAGGTGTATCTTGGATTAAAAGAAATACCTTTTTGTGCTGTTTCTGTTATCATTTTAAGGGTGAGTTTTTAAAAAATGTATAATGCTACGGACTGAAATGGTACAAAAATTAATGATTCTGAATGTTACTGATTCATCGAACAATAATTAAGATTTTTCAAACAGTTAATACGGATGTAGATTAATACTTTTAAATACCTTAAGAGTACAATAGCTTAACAATTTAGGAATAACAGTATATGTATTTTTTCACAAGGGGTTAAAAACTTCCACAACACACAATAAAACCCATCATAAACCATCTTCAATTAAAATATAGTAAAGAATATGAAAGTGTATTTTAGAAAAAAAATAAGGTATCCAAAACCACCATGCTCTTCCACTGACTACAGCTGTAAAGTTCACTGTCTATTTGATGAGCAAATGTATAATATAACAACCACAGGGCAATCATGAAGCTGACAGTACTGAGAAATTCTTGCTCCTAAGATTATCATTTGACAGCAGACACATAAAAAGATGCTCAATATCACTCATCATCAGGGCAATGCAAATCAAAACCACAATGAGATAACACCTCACACCTGTCAAAATGGCTAAAATCAACAACACAACAAACCAGTGTTGGCAAGGATGTGGAGAAAAAGGAACCCTCCTGCACTGCTGGTGGGAATGCAAATTGGTGCAGTCACTGTGGAAAATAGTATGGAGGTTCCTTAAAAAATTAAAAATATGATGCAGCAATTCCACTCCTGAGTATTTATCCAGAGAATGTGAAAACACTAATTCAAAAAGATATGCACCCCTGTTTGTGGTAGCATTATTTACAATGGCCAAAATATGGAAGCAGCCCTGGGTCCACTGATAAAGGAATGGATAAAGAAGATGTGGTATGGGCGCCTGGGTGGCTTAGTCAGTTAAGTGTCTGCCTTTGGCTCAGGTCATGATCTCAGAGTTCTGGGATTGAGCCCTGCATCTGGCTCCCTGCTCAGCAGGGGAGTCTGCTTCTCCAGCTCCCTCTGCCCCTCCCCCTGCTTGTGCTCTCTCTCTCTATATATATATATAAATAAAATCTTAAAAAAAAAAAAAAGACATGAGATGTGTGTGTGTGTGCAGTACCACTCAGCCATAAAAAAGAATGAGTTCTTGCTATTTGCAACATGAATGGCTCTAGAGAATATAATGCTAATAAGCAAAGTCTGTCAGAGAAAAAGAAATACCACATGATTTCACTCATATGTGGGATTCAAGAAACAAAGAAAAAAAAAGAGACAAACCAAGCATCAGATTCTTGACTACAGAGAACAAATTGATGGTTACCAGAAGGGAGGTGGGTGGGGGGATGGGTGTAAAAGAAGATTAAGAGTGCTCTTGATGAGCACCGAGTAATGTGTAAGTTGTTGAATCACTATATTGTATACCCGAAACTAATATAAACAATGTATGTTAATTATACTAGAATTAAAGAAAAAAAAAGACTAGGGGCACCTGGGTGGGGCAGTCGGTTAAAGTGTCAGACTCTTGGTTTTGGCTCAGGTAGTGCTCTCAGGGTTGTGGGATCTAGCCCTGCCTCCAGCTCGGCATTCAGTGCGGAGTCGGCTTGAGATTCTCTCTTCCTTGCCCTCTGATCCCCCAACCCCTCCCACCCCACGAGCTAGCTCTTTCTCTCTCAAATAAAGAAATCTTTTAAAAAAAGACTATCATTTGAAATCTACCATAATTTTAAAAACCAAACTTATAAACATAATGTAAAAAAATTTAATGATAGTGATATTCAGGCCAATGAATTCCTCTTCAGAAAAAATATCTAGCTTATTTTCTGAGCTCTTTTGGAGAACTCACTAAAGACAAAAATCTACTTACATACTCCTTTCCTTTTTGATTCTTTACCATAGCACATTTTGCACACAAAACAAAAACAATTCAGAGGTCTTATTACCAACTGAAAAATAACAGTTGTTTCACTCAATGTTTTCCTTTTAGCTATTAAGTAAAATTATAGAAAAATATTTTATCATTGAATCAATTCCTGAGCAATACCCTCAGGGAGATACTTTTGACTCAGAAGTACTTTTTATTATTCATTCTAGGCTGATGAAACTTTGTTTTTCCCGTATAAAATCTCTCAAAGTGTCTACTTACTGTGCCTAAAACTTTTAGTTACCCTTTTCCATGGGTTTCTCATTTATTTTACATTTTATTCTCACTACTGTCAGATATTTCTGTCTGCTTAATTTTCCATTAATAACTTTTACATCTTTTTTCTTAAAAAAATATATATATATACATATCTTTAACCATTTTATATTTTAAAATGCTAAGAAATAAATACATTAATTGTCACATGTTCTCAATCAAATTTAAGACCTCTGGATAGAGACTGGTATGAACTTACCACTTCTGTGAATTCATTACTTCCCAAATCCAATCTTTCCAGTTGGGTCAGTCTATTCATGGTTCTACGCACAAGGGATTAATGAAGAATTGAGTACACAAAAATATCAATTAAAAGGAAGCTTTCAAAAATAATAGTGTTAAACCTTCTTATGTAATATCTAATGTACAGGTTTCACCATATTGACAAAATATAATTTCTCAGGAAAGTATTAATTTCTAAATAAAATAAGTTATGAATTATTCTCTAATTTGGCTTCTCACCAGGTCTCCATTTCTTTTCATAAGTAGTCACAGTAAACTGAAACACATAGACCAGAATACGAGTAACTGGTTTTCACTTTTTTCGCAAAATAAATTTTCATGTAATATTAATCAACTAATGAATTAGACTGTTTGGCAGCTACATAGTAATTATTACCATTTTTCAAGACTGGTCATATATTTGTAAAACTTTAAGATAGCTTAATTCTGAAAATTAATACTCAAAATTCTAAGGACAGTAAACACAATATTTCTTATCACATTTCCAAATTAATTTTAATACAACTCAAAGTTTTATAAAGATCATAAATGAGTAGATAAAATCATTTTTAACTTCCAACTTACTACCAATATTTCTCTGCAACTACAGGGACTTGAAAATTTTACAAAAACTCACTTCATAATGAAATAAACTAAATTGTGCTTTTATCTCTCCTTCAATATGGCATTTTAAAAACCTAAACTAATTAATTCAAACACATATTTACACTCTTACATTGCTATTTTTAGAGAAGCCCCTAGTATTTGATAGACTGAGGTACTACCAGCTACCTAGATATAGAACTTTGTGCTATAATTTTTTAGGATATGTCAAAATGAAAGCAAAATACAGTTATCAACATATTATCAGTACATATTAATATGCTAATGACTTAAAAATTAACATCATTAAAAACCAACAGGCTCCTTAAATTATGACACAAGAACACAGACTATTTCTATCTTCTCTGGAAATTTAACAAATTAGAAAAAGTAAAATAAAACTCACTTAAACATTTCTCTGGCTTTTCAGTGAAAAAAACAAACATAGGAACACACATAATTGGGGGCGCCTGGGTGGCTATTAGTTAAGCAACTGCTTTGGGCTCAGGTCACGATCCCAGGGTCCAGCGATGGATTGATCAGCCCTGAGACCCACGGGCCCCACGTTGAGCTCCCAGCTCAGCAGGGAGTCTGCTTCACCCTCCTGCTAAGCTCCTCCCCCGTGCTTGTGTGCAAACTCTCTCTCTCTCTCAAATAAATAAAAATCTTTTAAAAATAAACAAAAGAACACACATAATTGTAATGCCACTATGTTACTGAACTAACATTAGAGGAAGCTAATTTTTCCCGACCCTTCCATTTTAAGTATGCCATTCTATCAACATTCCTTTAACTTATTTCACAACACCAATTTTTCTCAAAGCTGCTTTATTTAACTTAGACTTATTAAGGGCCTTGTCTCAGGTACTATGAAGTACTATGATTCTGTTTCCCTTACTCATATCTGTCTTTGTCCAGAAAATCTCTAGGTCAGTTGTAGTATGCATCATAACAAAGCAAAAGGTGTTTCCAGGGTATTTCTGAAGAAAGATGAGATGCTATGATATTAAACTATGTCCATAATACTATCCCAAGTAAACATTTGAGAAAAGTAGAGAGGTGTGTGAGAAGGGAGGCAAAGACTAAAAGAAAACATAATCTTATTTTTCTTAATTCAATATTCTTAAAAAGACAAAAGAACATAGAAAATCCACACGGAGCAGTTAAACACTGTAACAAAGGTAAGTAATACAAGAGTACAAAAAAGAAGTGGTGCACTGGAAAGATTCAATTCTAAATGACATCTTTAGAAAGTGAAGTTTTAAAACTAATGCAGGAAAAAGTGAACGACATGTGTATGTAACAAAAAGAGAAATGTAGTGTAAAATCCTCAAAATGTCTCCATCTCAACTTGCATAGTCTATACTGGCAACTTTAGTCCTACTAAGATACCTGAAAAGTCTAAGATAAAATTTCATGTTTTCATTTTCAGGTCTTTTCATTTAAGATCCAGCTTCCTACTTCAAGGAGAATCTAAAAACAATATATCCCTCAAATTTCTTCCTGTTTACCTCTAAAATTTCTTTGTATTTAATTCCTTTTTATCATCTCTTCTTATGTCACAGAGGAAAAAAACACATCTTTTGTGTGCTTGACCCTGTGCCCTCTAATACTTAGATGGTATTAAATTTCACTTAGCTACATATCTAAAACAGCTTTCCCAGTGCTCACATCTTTGATTATAAAAAGGTTTACTCACATAACCTGAATACACATGACTTTCGTAACATTTAAAACTACTGCCTCTTTACAGTTTGTGAGGTCTCAAAAGTTTTAATTACAAGTCTTAAAAAGAGAGCAGTAAAGAATTATATTTGAAAATACATCAGAGCCCAATTTAAATAAGGAGATAAAATAGTGAGTTAAAATTATGCTATCAGATACACCGTATTAATTATAGGCTTAGCTATTTCAGTAAACAGTTTACATCTTATTCAAATCTCTTAGAAACCAGTCAGTTTGAACTAAGGAGTCATCAGTGCCAGTACCACATCTATAAAATATTTAAACCTTTCTGAATTTAATTTGGATCATAATTCCCATTTTATTTTTTAAAGTTTTTTTTTTTTTTTTTTTGATAGAGACACAGCGAGAGAAGGAACACAAGCAGGGGGAGTGGGAGAGGGAGAAGCAGGCTTCCCGCTGAGCAGGGAGCCCGATGCGGGGCTCGATCCCAGGACTCTGGGATCATGACCTGAGCCGAAGGCAGATGCTTAACGACTGAGCCACCCAGGCGCCCCCATAATTCCCATTTTAATTTACACTCACAACCATCCCTAGAAACACCAATCATTTCTGCACTGAACAATTATCCGCTAATAGATAATGTCTTCTGGGAATCAAAATTAGACATGCTCTTTGTCCTTAAAGACTTACATTCATGGGGAAGGTTACAGGTACACGTAAAAACGGAAGTAAAATGTATAAAAAAATAAGACTAACATGGTAAATTTCATAACAGATACAAATAAGATGCTACAGAAGTTGAATAAGCAAAACTAACTCCTGGGGAACTGGAGATATCTCCCTTAAAAGGTAACAATTAACTCTTGACAAATCAATCACAACAGAAATCAGCAAAGTTTTCTGTAAAGGATCAGAGAATAAATAATTTAGGCTTTGCATACAGTCTTTGTCACAACTACTTGACTCTAGCACTATAGAGCAAAAGGAGCCATAGAAAATATGTAAATGAATAAATGTGTTTCCAATGAAACTTTATTTACACAGTGGGCCAGATTTAACAAGATGGTAGTTTCCCAATGCCTACACTGTAAAAATGTAGCAATAAATTCAGGAAGTTTTAATGTATTTTTTCAATAAATGGACATAGACTACAGTGCATTTTGAGTATGTAGATCTGTTTTAGTTTTATCTTATTTGCTCTTGGATTGACATCTCTTCTTGATGTTAGCGTACCAGCAGGGGGCCCTCCACCCCACTTCTTATTTACAACAGACTATAAAACCGGACAAATTCTTATAATTACAGTTATCAGACTTCACATAAAGACCCTACAGATCTCACTGATGAATACTATATAAGAGCTCTAGCATATGAACTGGGACCTTTATATGGGACAGTGGGCTTTATCGACATATTTTGATATTTGTCACACAAGACCAAGTTTCAGAAAGCTATGAAATCACTATAAAATACCAACACTAAGTTTTATATTCAATACCACTAATTAAAATATGACCACAAATGTCAGTCTTTAAAAAATAATTTTCACTCATATTTTAGATATTACAAAGTTAACATTTCTCTAAGGACTTAAGAATTAAAAATTCTTGGGGTGCCTGGCTGGCTCAGTCAGTAGAGTCTGTGACTCTTGATCTCGGGAATTTTAAGTTTGAGCCCCACAATGGGTATAGAGATCACTTAAAAAAAAAATCTTCAAAAGAATTAAAAATCCTTATTTTAGCAAGAATAGCACCTTTACTTACTTTGGCAACATTTTCAACTGGTTTTCTCTAAGTTCTAATATCTGGAGTTTAGTTAATCTGCAAAACAAAATAACAAATCAAGCATCTATGGCGAAGACAATGAATTTAATTACCAAAGTAATGTCATGCTCTAAAGTTTTAAAGCAGCCAATATTTATTCTGTAATTACAAAGTAAGAAAAGACTCCTTCTGCTCCTCAGAATTAGTGGCGGCGGGGGGTGGGGGGGAGTTAAACACTTCTAAACACATTTAAAGCACAAATTTATTGTCCTAAATATCAATCCTACAGCATTCCATGCAAACATGCCTCCCCAAATATTTAGCCATTAGTAGATTAGAGAACAATAATTCAACTTCAAAGTCCAGCTCCAAGAGAAAAAAGAACAAGAGAATCTAAGGGGACATAATAAAGGAGAAATCCTCTGGCTCTTCAGTGATGCACATCCCAATAAAATAAAGGGAAAATGAGATTAGGTGATCTAGAGTTGCTAACTAATGCCATAATGTCAATCATATTCAATATATAAATGTATCAAATCAACATGCTGTATACCTTAAACTTACACAATGTTGATATGCCAAATATATTTCCATAAAAAGTGGTCCAAATACCAGATACAGAAAAGGAATCTGACAAGTACCCTAACTTTTTACATATATACTGTATAAGCATTATTACACATATACACACACATATATATGTATGTATATAAATATATGAAGCATGATAAGGCGGCTCCCACTGGACAGTCACTGGGCTATAACAATGCCCAGAATTCTTTTTTTCTTAATTGAAATGTAACTGACCTATAACATTATTAGTTTCAGGTATCCAACATAATGTATATATGTATATATTGTGAAATGATCACCATAATAAGTTAACATCCATCACCATGGTTACCACAATTCTTTTTCTTATGATGAGAACTTTTAGGGTCTACTTAGCAACTCCCAAATATACAATACAGTATTGCTAACTATAGGCAGCATACTATACATTACATCCTCACTATTTATTTTATAACTGGAAATTTGTACTTTTTGACCACCTTTACCCATATTGCCCACCCTCACCCCTGGCAACCACCAATCTGTTCTCTGTATTTATCAAGCTCGGGTTTTGTTTTATTTTGAGATTCCACATATAAGTGAGATCATACAGTATTTATCTTTATTTATAGACAAAAAGTTGATCAAAATTAACATGTCATTAAAAAGCACTTTCTCTACTAATTAGTTTTAAAACAATAGTAGTTTGATACCTATTAGTCATTCATTCACTGATTCATCTTTTTATTAAAAAAAAAATTACTGAGACTATAGTGACAAGATTTACTCTACGTTCAGATATTGGTGGGAGTGTGCCAATGGGGTGGGTCACCAAAAACACACTTTCTTTTCTCCAGAATTTTGATTCCAGTGGAGAAGACAGATAAATCAATAATTAGATCATTTTCAAATGTGATAAATGCTAAGAATAAAGCATTCTGTGTCTCTAATATATAGAAATTACCCACATTTGAACTATTTTTGCATACTTCAAAAACCAATTCAAGTTGTAAATTACCTTTTCTTTCTAAGTACTCACTGCTTATTTACTTGGGAAAATAAATTCAAGGACAAAATAACAAGTTCTGAAAAAGCTATAAAAACCACAAGGCTTGGAATTGGAAATAATTACAAAAGAAGAGCAAAAGGAGAGCCTATGAAAGTGTAATTAATAGTATTACTAAAGCAACTTGTAGTTTTGTAAACTTTTAAGAGCCAACAAGAAAAGATTTTAAAAGAAACTGTAATTTACCTGCCAAAATTAGCTGGCAAGAACTCAAGGAAAGCATCATTTAGATATAACTGGGTTAGGTTTAACAGCTGAGAAAATCCATCAGGAAGCCTATATAAAATACATCAGAATTTAAGTTAAATTAATACACAGAATTTCAGTCTCATAGAATCTCTCTAAGAATCTAACTAACACATGTTCTTAACCGGTAACAGTCACGTTTTTACTTTAATGAGGGACCCTCAAACTGAGATTTCCTTTTTGTAATAATTTACCTGTTTCAATGTTTATAACTTCTTCTCTTTGTAAATAGGAAATGACATAGTATTTGTCTCAAGAAGATAAAATGTGCACAAAAAGGTCAAATATGAATGAACCACAATACACAGAAATGTATTTAGGACATAACTATGACATCAGCAGGCACTCTTGAAATTTGCTTTATCTAACATCAATCCAAAGGACTAGATAAGGAATTCCAAACCTTGACAGTACTGGCTTTTGGGGCTGGATAATTCTCTGTAGTGAGGAGGCTGTCTTCTGCACTGTAGTGTTTAGCAGCAACTCTGGCCTTTATTCACTAGAAGCCAGTAGCACCACCCACCACTGCAGGTTTTAAAAACCAAAACTGTCTTCAGAATTTGCCAAATGACCCTTGGGGGCAAAATCATTCCCATTTGAGAACCACTAGTTTAGAATTATTTTCAATTTCAACATCTGGCCTTTAAATAACCAAATAAAGATTGCATAATTTTATAATAAGCAAATGAGAAGAAATAATACAAAAAGCTAAAGGACATTTTAAGGCCATCTGAGAACCTGTACGTATCAGCTTTCCTTTATTTCCTCTGGTCTACAAAAGAAATTCTAGATCTAGAACTGGATGCTAGAGCAATATTTTAAGCAAAGATAAAACATCATCAGTACATGTTTTTCCTGGATTTTATTTATTTATTTTTTTCCTGGATTTTAAAAGTACAAAGATCTGCTGCAGTGAGACCTCTCAGTCTTTGACTCATCTTGTTTCTCCTACATTCCATTCCTTCATCTACCACAGCAAATGAAGCATCAATGTTGGAAAATACTCATTAAATACAGTTCTGTAATGTGTGAAAGCTGGTTTCAGTTTTCAACATAGCTATACTAAACCATGCTCTACTCATTTTTCGCTTTACCATTCCATTTTCGCAAAACTTAACAGTTTTGGTGTCAGGAAAGCATTTTATTTATAGCCATTACCAACATAAAAGAACATTTGTGACCTCTGGTATATGGTACAACCAATCATATGGTTTTTCTTTTTTGTTGTTCTTACCTTCCTGATATTTCAGTTTCTTTTAGTATTTTCGAAAGTTTTAGTGTGCTACACAGCTGATTTGTGAGTGAAGATATTCTTACATTGTGAAAGTATCACTGAGGGAGGAAACCTGGATTCTAGCCTCATTTCTGACACAAACTATCTGCGAGACCTGGAGCAAAACACTCGCATTATCTCTTTGGATGTCTAATTTACCGTTGTAAAATATGGGGTTAGAAAAATGATTTAAAGGTTTCATTTTAATCTAAAACTCAAATTTGGTATAGATTTAAAGCTGATACTAATTACTCATTACACAGCTATTTTATTCACAAAATTAAGTTGTAATTCAACTAGGAACTTACTTGGAAATAGGGTTTACACTGGCCTCCACGACTGTCAAAACTTTACAATTTTTTATATTTTCTGGAAACTCCTGTATTCCTAGAAAGTGAACAGATAATTAATAATCAAATTAAAAGGATCTAAAAGGATAAAATAATAACAAAATTAATTACTGCAGATTCAAAATTTACCAACTAGGATCTAGACAAACTGACAACATCAACCAAACAGAACTCTACAACAATTTCTCTCTTTTGTCTTTCATCTTTTGTTCATGTGCCTCCTTATAACTGCCAATTATATTAGTTTTACCTGCCTTTCCTTCTCTTAGCTCTTCTGAAAATTAGTGCCTTCTCTATCTGATGATGTTAAGGATATAAAATACAGAAATTTTGCAGTCTTCCCGGTTTTCTAACATAAAAAGACACATTGCTTTTTTTAATGCTGGGCTGCAGATTAAGGTGGTCCCTAACATACATGTAAAATGATAAAGCTGAGAACAAGGCTGAAGATAGAAGTAGTAGAAAATCTACATTTGATATGCTAGCAGATATGCCTGATGACAGTTGCTGACCAATACTTCAGTAAAATACCACATAAATGCTGCAACAGTCCAAATTACAGTTAACTTTCTAAGCACTTACTCTTCTTTCCTCAAACTATCTCAGCAAAGATATAGTAACAATAATTTGTGAACAATAACCCACAAACTTCAAGTAGCAATGTTATAATCCAGACTAAAAGAAGGCTAAAAGCTTTTTAAAATATTAAAAAAATTCTGTTTGTAAGACTCCTTCTTGTACTACCACGATACGAATAGTCAACATAGCTGACATTAGAGGATCACTTAAACTTCTTTCAACTTCATTACTGTATCATTTTAGGTAAGCAAGTTTACCACAGTGCCAAACACAGAATTTCAGGTGACCAAAAATTAATAATGCAAAATGACCAACTGGCAAATACTACAGTAATAACTTTTCAGTTAAAACTCATCAGCAGGGGCACCTGGGTGGCTCAGTTGGTTAAGCGACTGCCTTCGGCTCAGGTCATGATCCTGGAGTCCTGGGATCGAGTCCCGCATCAGGCTCCCTGCTCAGCAGGGAGTCTGCTTCTCCCTCTGACCCTCCCCCCTCTCATGTGCTCTCTCTCTCTCTCATTCTCTCTCTCTTTCAAATAAATAAATAAATAAATCTTAAAAAAAAAAAAACTCATCAGCAAATGCTAATATCAGTGGGTAAAATAATGATGAAAAACAGGATACCAATATATTCTCAATGTTTCTCCCAAAAAGATACTTATTAATTACAAAAGGAAAAAAGCCATTACAGAAATATCAAAGGCACCATCTTAAATTGCTTCAAAGTTAGCATCACCTGTTAGCAACACCATGTGGCACCAAATCTAAGATGCACTAGGAAGGGATGCAATACCATTATTGTCATATTCTTGCCAAAAACATGTAACATGAAGTTAATCATAAGCAAACATCAAACAAATCCACATTTAGGGAAATTCTACTATATAACTGGCCAGTAAACTTTAAAACTATCAAAGGAAGACTGAGGAACTACCCAGGTAAGAGGAGACCCAAGAGTACGATTGGGGGACTGTATCAATGTCAATATGCCTCTTGTTCTAGAATATTACAAAATATTACCACTGAGGAAACTAGGTAACAAGTACACAGAACTACTCTGCAATTTTTGTTAAAACTGTATGTGAATTTACAATAATTTCAATTAAAGAAATCTGGGCTAGGGGCGCCTGGGTGGCTCAGTCGTTAAGTGTCTGCCTTCAGCTCAGGTCATGGTTGCAGAGTCCTGGGATCCAGTCCCGCATCGGGCTCCCTGCTCAGCGGGAACCTGCTTCTCCCTCTCCCACTCCCCCTGCTTGTGTTCCTTCTCTCGCTATCTCTCTCTCTAATAAATAAATAAAATCTTTAAAAAAAAAAAAGAAATCTGGGCTCAATAATTCCTTAAGGGAAAGTTTTATTACCACTGTTATTACAAATTCAATTTCTCTAACAGTCAAGATAACTCATTTTTTCAATTTCAGTTTTAGGAACTTTTGCTGGAATTTACAGAGTTCATGCAAATCTTCAAATTAGCAAATATATACAATGATGGATATCGAATGATATTAAGGAATTACTATTAGCTGTTTTTTTTTTTCAAGTATGATAGTAGAGTAGTTTTATCTCGAAATACTATGTATGAAAAAGATTGTGACTTGCTTTAAAATAATCAGAGGTGAAGGGGCGCCTGGTTGGTTCAGTCAGTTAAGTGTCCAGCTCTTGGTTTCAGCTCAGGTCATGATCTCAGGGTTGTGAGATCGAGCGCCACGTGGGGGTCCACACTCAGCACAGTCTGCTTGAGACTCCCTTTCTCCCTTTCCCTCTGCCCTCCCCCACCCCATTTGCTCTTGCTCTCTAAAATAAATAAATAAAATCCTAACAGAAACTATGAGGAATGGCAAACTAGAAGGTATAGATGAAGGTATACTAGGAGGTATTCAATATACTGATACATGCTGAAGTCGGCTGATAGGTACACCAGATTTATTATATTCTACTTTTGTAAATGCTTGAAATATTCCACTATAAAACATTACCACTGTTCAGTTACTAGAAACAGACTCAAAGACAAAAGAAAAGAACTTTAAAACAGTTACTGTACTTAAAGGGGAAAAAATGAACAAAATGGTGAAGAGGAAAAGGTTAAATTTAAGAAATAAATGGAAACTTCACAAATAAAAAATATAGTATCTGAATGAAAAATACAGGACAGGATTAAAAGAAGGTTGGGGTTCCTGAGTGGCTGGCTCAGTGGGTTAAGTGTCCAACTTTGGCTCAGATCATGATCTCAGGGTCCTGAGATTGAGCCCCACATTGGGCTTCATGCTCAGTGGGAAGTCTGGTTGTCCCTCTTTATCTGCCCCTCCCTCTGCTCATGCTCTCTCTCAAATAAAATCTTAAAAAAAAAAAAAAAAGAGTGAACAAGATTAGACACTGTAGGAGAACATTTCAGTGAGCCAGAAGACATGGCAACAGAAATTAGCCAATCTGAAACATAGGGAAAAAGTAGAATGAAAAAATATCAACATAACAGAATACATGGGACAATGTCAAGCAGGCTAACATATACTTACCTATCTTTAGAAGTTTGTTTACCAGCCCACCACTAAGAATATATGCTCTCTGAGGGGAGAACCTCTGCCTCTCTTTTTCACTAGCTGAATAGGACATGGCACAGAGTTATCAATGTCACTAGATAACTTCCGAACTCCTTTCCAGGGTGACAATACCAATTTTCACACACCACAATACCTATTTATACATATTCTTGTCAACATCTGCTATTGTCTTCACATGCCAATATAAGGGGTTGAACCTCACCAGCAATAATATAAATGTATATTTAAATTAAAGCTAGATATTCTTGATATTTTCTAGTGATACTCAACACATTTTCATGTGTTTACTGATCATTTTTATTTCTTCTTTGACCTCCCTGTTTATTGCACATCTTCTATTGGATTATCTTTTCATTATTGATTGTAAACATTCTTTAGAAATACTAGTATATCAAATTTTTCCCACAGTTTGTCATGTATTACTTAGTCATATAGAAATGTCATTCCTTTACTACTGTGCTTTTTAAAAATTAATTTATTTATTACAGAGAGAGAGAGAAAGAGAGAAGGAAGGAGAGGGAGAGAGAGAATCCCAACCAGGCTCCATACTCCAGGCAGAGTCCGACAAAGGGCTCGATCTCATGATGGTGAGATCATGACCTGAGCCAAAATCAAGAGTCGGACACTTAACCAACTGAGGCATCCAAGTGCCCCTACTGTGCTCTTTGTATCTTGAATAAGATCTCTTTCCTATCCCAAAGTCATAAAAATATTCTACATTATCTGATAATTGTAACTTTTTCATATTATTATCCTTAATTAATTTGCAATTTATTTTAGTACATATTATGAAGTAAGGCTCTTTTTTCCTATTTCCCATACAAAACCACTGTTCCAGTGCTAATAAAATATTTGTTTTTTTTTTTATTCCACTGATTGGTAGAGGCACCTCTGTCATATTCCAGATTCTTTCATGGTTATGTTTCCTGACAGTCTTTCCTTTTAGATCCTTCTACTCATCTATTCCATAGTTTTGTATTTTTCTTCCATTTAGATTGTACTGCACGTTTTCTATAAAGTTCATTTCTAGGTATGCGAGATAGAGTAGTTGCATTAATGGACTCACTCCCTATACCACTTTCTACAATGTGATCTTTCAACTACTCCCATCAAAATATTAAGTATAATTTCCGTATCTCCTGATTCTGGGCTCAGCCATGTGTTCTGCTTTGGCCAATGAAACATCAGCTGAGTTGATGAAATTGAGAGTTTAAATAGCTCTCTGGCTAATTTCCACTAGCTCTCAGGGTCCTCTTACTGTTCTGTGAGAAACATGGCTGGGATGGCTTGGGCTGGCCTGGTGGAGGATGAGATCTATGGCAGAGTAATTCCTGTCATCCCAGCACATGATCCCAACATTGCGATTTAAAAAGTCTTCATCTAGTTTTGTTATCAAAGTGTATTTTACCCTTACAGAGTTGTGTACTTTCCCCTATACTCTAATCTACAGAATAGTTTTTATAAATTAGGGATAACCCCAATTCCGTGAAGGTTTAGTCAAACTTGCTCTTAGAAGCAGGCTTGGCAGTTTTTCTGACTATCCCATTTAATATTGTATTGACTGGTCTTTTCAAGTTTTCTGCTTCTTCAGTTGATTTTGGAAATTTATTTTTCATTTCATCTAAGTTTTAAAAATTAGTGGCTTTAGGGGCACCTGGGTGGCTCTGATGGTTAAGCATCTGCCTTTGGCTCAGGTCATGATCCCAGGGTCCCGGGATCAAGCCCGGCATTGGGCTCCCTGCTCAGTGGAGTCTGCTTCTCCCACTGCCCTTCCCCTGCTCATTCTCTGTTGCTTTCTCTCTAATAAAATCTTTTAAAAAAATAAAATAAAATACAATTTAGTAGCTTTATAGTATTGAGTGAAAAGCCACTTTTTTTTTTTTTTTAAAGATTTATTTGAGAGA